GTAGCTTTTAACGTTATCTGTCTAACGTTGGATAACTCACGTTATTCGTCCAATTAGTCGTTAGATTAGTCGACTAATCGATAAAATAATCGCCCGATTAATCGTTTAATAAATAATCGTTTACCCCCAGCCCTACTCAATAGCATCTTTCATTACACCCTTGCTGCTGACGAATGCCCCTCATCTTTAAAACTCAACACAATCTCATCGTTGTAACTTTCCTTTTCCTAAAAATGTGCAGTCTCCACACAAAAGCTGAGCTGATCACGACATGACATCATCTGAGTTATTTTGTCAGACTTGACGAAGTTCTTTCAGAGCCACAGGAGACATTATAGAACAATTTTCAATCTTTGTGACGAGAATAAAGTGACAATGCTGTGTTCAAAAATCAAAATTGAAGACAGGTTTAAGCAGTGGTTCAAACCTTTTATGACCTCAAACAACCTCCTTGTGGCCACTCGACAGATCACGTATGTCTTTGAGTTGTGAGTAGTAGTGCCTTTTGTTGGTCTAAAGAGGACTATCACAGAAAAAGAAGAAATTAACATCGTACTGTGTCCCAGAAACACGTTTTTCCCCTCTCTCCTATGCAATTAATCCTCTTGTGACTCCTCATATTTATCTACCAACCTTTTGTGAGGTCCAGGGCAGCAGGCTGGGTTAGAGAGTTTAGCAACAGATGTTAGCGCAGAGATGCAAACAAAGGCGTCAAGTCAAGCAGAAACGTGACAGTTTAAGTCAGTGAGTGCTGCTGTGCCAAACTACTGTAGTTCAGCCAACAAGCCTGTGCACACGAAGCAAAGTGAAAAGATAATTTGGAGCTTAGTTTTTTGTTCCCGCGAAACTGTAATTTTCTCTGTGAGAGGCTGCCAAAACTACTGCAGTGTCTACAGCATTCAAAATGTCCTGCTTTAGTCTGCTGCTTCGCTCTCCTGTCTCTATCGATTGCTCTGCCCCTCAGAGTCCTAGATCAGACCAGAGCAGAGCAGTAAAAAGCAGAGCGAGACACTGAAAGCCAGACACAGAAAAAAAGACAGATATTCAAAGTCACAACTCTGCTGAGAGTTGAGGTCAAAGGTCGTAATAGACCGATGTAATTTGGCTTGGTTTTTACGTAATTCAGAGCGGTTCAGATTCCTAAGCTTCTCTCCTTCTATCCCCGGCTCACTCACTCGTCTCCTAGAAATCTCTCTTCGTCTCTTTCTTTCTTTGTTTTCGTTCTTTCATTTTTAATTGTGCTATTTTAAATCTTGTGTTTTAAGAGATGTACAGTTTGCATAATTCATTCAGTAAGTGCTTAGCTAGTTAGAAAGGGAACTCCACACACATTTACTCCATTCCCATTATACCCCTGTACCTTTATTATAGACTGAGGCTCATTATTTTAAGTTTTTATTTACAGAAAACATATCTAGGAATTTATCGGTGTTTGTTCAGCATTTTTATTATTAAAAACCAAAAAAGAGAACCAGCTTTTAAAAAGCTTTTTTGTAGTGTAACCAGTTAATCAGGCCCATAATAGGCACATCATGTGCACTTATTCCCTGTTTTTTCTTTTTAATGTCTACAGAAAGAATCATTTTCTCAACAGCAAGAAACTAAAACATTTTGGCTGCATGGGGACTTTAAATCCAGCCGAAAATTGTTTTGAACCAATCGACTTTTAAAAATCTAATTCATTAAAAATCGATTAATTTATATATATATAAAAAACCCCAAATGATCAACCATAATATATCCAACAGCTGTTGGGTTTCCTCAGTGTTGTAGTTGCACTGACACGTCGGCCATGTTTTCATGTATTGTGCAGTTTGTGAACAGCCTCCTTCACGGGCGCCTTCTCACAGGGGAATTCCCGTAATGAGAGACAAAACCAGCTGGACCCAGGTGTTCTGTATAAACCTGATATATTATTCCAAAGGGCTTCCCTCTCCCTCCTCCTCTACCTCTTTGTCTACATTCATCTTCCTCCTCCCCCTTCCACTGTCTCCATTGACACATTCTCATTAACTCCATCTTCCTCAACCTCGTTGTTTTCTCTCCACCTCTACCTCCACATTCTGCTCTTCTATCATAATATTCTCTTATGCTAACTCTTTATAACTCTGTCCCTTCCCCCTCTTTATCTTCATCCTGCTACCTCCACATCACCTTGCTTGTCCACCTTTGTCCTTTGTCTCATCCTTCACTGCCTTGTTTTCTTTATTTATCCATTATTGCTATCTTCTCATACTACTCCCAGTCACTTCCTCCAAAAATCTGCTTCCCCACATCCTTCTTTCTCCTTCTCCACTTCCACCAACAGACACACACACACACACCTTTGCTGAATGAGCCAATGAGTGAAATGAGAAAGCAGAGTTTTGTCGTCCATATTGTTACCTTTCTCACAAGTAGCTCCTCCGTAGCTGGGCAGGCAGAGACACACAAAGGAGTTGATCTCATCAATGCAGGTTCCTCCATTCTGGCATGGATTAGACTGGCAGTCATCAATGTCTGGAGGGAGAGAAAGAGGGGAAGAGAAAGGGAGGGTTTGAGTCAGATTAGATACAAAACACACACACACACACTAACAGCACTTTCCAAATGGCTACTTTTCAAACTACCTGCCGTAGCTTGTTACTGAACAAACTCCTGAGAGATCAAAACTTTTGGAGAGATTAGAGGTGTTTCTGAGAAAGTTATAATTAAAGCGAATTGATTGAACTTCATCAGTGAGCGGTTTGGGATGCACTGAAGCGCATGATGCTAATTGCAATGTGTTTGCAGGACGTGCCGCAGTTCTGCTGTCAAACCTGAACGGCAGGAGCGAGGGAGAGTATGGAGTCGGGTGGAAGGTAGAAAGAGAGAGACATGGCGATTATAGGGAGGAAGACATTCGGTTGGATGAGCCTCCATCTTCAACAACAATGCTGCCCACGCTGATGCACCAGCCGTCTAAACTACAAATCCATTTTAATATGAACAAAAGTGACCGAAAGGATGAAACCATTTCTCAAATCTCTCAGATATAATATCAAAATCAAGTCTAAATGTTTGTGCAAAATGTAAACACTCACATGCAAATTCACCAGCACACACACACACGCACATAAATCACAGAAGCGTTGCTGGGGAGAGAGTTTTCATTCTGTTGAAAAATGGCAACTGTATTTCTCTGGCTGATCTGGGCCTGGGGGCAAAATCATTAAAACTGCAGCTGGTATCCCACAACCGAGTGAGTCCCAGGGGCCTTGACAAGAGGTCACGGAAGGCGAGGGGAAGAGGAAGTGAAAGGAGACAGGAGAAAGTCTGAAGAAAGATGTGGGGATGAAAAGATGCTCGAAAACACAGAATATTGGTGTGAAGGAGAGGTAATAAAAACAAGAGTGGGGGAGAGAAAGACAGAGGTGGTATGATGCTGCGAGTCTGGGAAGTTGGCAAGTTTCAGGGTTGGATTACAGGGGCTTTGCAGGCAGACAGCGTTTGGGGCGGAAGAGTCTGTTCAGGTAAAACAGCGTGACAGCTTCATTGCTGGTGCCCTGCTTTGGGCTGGCTGATATTAAAGGCTGAATTAGATGCAGGAGGTAGAAGCCCAGCCAGAGGAGCTGGAAGAGATGGCATCCGTGTTGGTTTCGTGAATCAGCGTATATCTGTGATACCTGGCTGTCTGTCTGACTCATGATGAAACAGAAATAAAATCAAAAGAAGAGACGAAAATAACAAAAGGTAGATAGAAAGAAAGTCACACATATCCCACAGCACGGAGAATGACAATGAATTTTATGTCTTGTTCAGATAATCCCACCTCAATTGGAGGGCTGATGTGAGTTTTAGGGGAAAGCAGTAGCAAGGGCTTTTATATTTAAAGGACAGTGATGAAACAAACTTACTCATCACAAAGAATTGTTGAGACTTCCATTATTTTTAGCAAGATTTCTGCATTACAAGCTGGAGGTGTGGATTTAAAAAGAAAAAGAGGGAATTGTAGGATTCACTGTGTGTTTGAAGCTTGACTCATAATAGGGATGTCTCCTAACTTTAAATAAGTGTAATACTAAATCCTTTAATCTTGTTGTATATGTGTGAAGAGCTCTTTGTCTCATTATTAGTCACAAAGTAAACAGTAGTTTACAGACAGCAGCATTATTGATAAAACAACTGGTAACTGAAGGAAAAAGTAGGGTTGATTAATAATAATAATGAATTTAATGTAAGCTATGTGGATTGGGGGCTTAGTTTATTATATTTGCATTGGTTCATATGGTGTGCTGCCCTCTACTGGTCAGGGCTAATTCTGCAGTCAAGCTCAATCTTCAGGTGAGCACAGACAGGCAGGATGGACAGTGCTGGATACGTGTTGCTGCTGAATGTAATTCTGACACGCTTCTGCCTCAGAGACGATTCGTCTATAAGTAATATGTGTTAATATGTAAAAATATGCTCTGCTAGGTAGCATGCAACAGTAGTCACTTTGTCACTTAGCTGTTGTGGTAAGCTGTATTTTTTACACAGTACAGTGCTGCTTTAAGCTTTTAGATATTATGTGTGATTTTGTCCTGTTTTCTCCATAGTGCAAAAAAGTGGAAACGACTTCAGTAAAATCCAAGAAAAGTCAAGCCTTGTGTGTTTATTGGAGGACTTTTGAGTGTTAACTGGCTGTCTAGCCTTGCACAAGAGTACGCGCTGCAAGGGCAGTACAATTATCATTAAAGTTTCAGTTCAACATTGAGCAAGCAATCACCAATCAGCAATGCATGAAAACATTACTCTGCAGGATTATCGGCCAATTGTGACACCATCAAACAAGAGGAACCAGTCTCTGAGGTGAAGTGAAGAGAGGCCACGCTGAGTTAATACCGGTAAATGGTGTGGTGTTGAAGTTAAAGGACAAACTGCTGTATAAAATCTTCCCGAGGCAATTAAACTAGAAGCCTGCAGGAATCTAGATATAGCGAGATAAATGTAAGATACAGAGCAGGTCTAATTTTAGCTATGTTTTTTAATTAAAAAGAAAACATGATTGAAATAACCTCTTTTTCTTTTTAACAAAAACCTACACCAAACATTTGAAGTATTTCTGGTGCAAACAAGTACAACAAAACAGAACAATGTGACCCGTAAAGATGCATTTGATTTATGACTGCATGCATACAGATCCTTGAATGAACCTCTGAGGAGCTTTAAGTAATTTAAATATGATATATGATGAATGATGACACTCTCTTCCTACACTGTGAACCAACAGATGAGCCGTTTGCCAGTACAGCTGTTCACAAAAAAAAAAAACAGCTACTGGGCCCGCATCTGGCCTCATTAAGCACTGTAGCACTGAGGTAAGGAGTCGAGGAATTTTAGGAGCACTGGGGTCAATAAAGCACAGCTCTGAACATCAGCTATTAAAGGGGCCATAGTAGGCGGCTAAACATTATCTGTCATAGGATCCAACATGATGGTACTCTAGACATTGACAGCTGGCATACACTGACCTTCATCTTTTCAAGTTTACAGATATCTGAGGAAATTCAAGCACAAAGGCGGTCAATAAATACCAGGCTAATCCTTGCTGGTCAATCAATACCACAGGCAACTTGATTGTATGAGATGGGCATTGTCAAATGGCTGGCCTCATTGAACTTGAGAAGATGTTGAGGAACCAACAGTAGCTTCACATTTAGGCATGGTGGGCTTCACTCATGTGTGCTGTCTTTTTACAGTAAAGTCTGAAAACTACAGCAAAGAAATTGCAATACAAGATGTGTTTACATAGTTTGTACGCCAGACAGCAGTCACAATGAAATGTCCCTCTCTGTACAGTACATATTGTGGTCAAAGTTCAAGTACAGTATAATTAAAGGATCATTTTCAAAAATGTTTGTCTTTTGTGTTTATGTACAAAAAGAGAGTATTGGTCGACTTATTGTTATCTGACATCTGCAACAATCTTAACTCAAACTCTGCCTACAAGCTTGTTTTGTAACTTTTTTGTGGACATGCACATGCTCCATCAGGTGGCCTGTTTTATAACTTTCAGTCACACTTTCATCAGTGGATGGAGTCTGCTCAGTTGTCAAGGAGATATGATCATGTGCCACAAGTATGCAACTTCTACCACATTACAGTGTAATAACAGGTTTTAAGACATATACAATTACTCTGCTCAGAATTATAATTATGATTTATGGGTTTTAGTCAGAAAAGTTCATTTACCTCATTAAAATTTACTCTTTCTTCCTCACTGAAAAATTCAGAATCTATGAATATGCAAACATTGTTCATTTCATTAACTAGTGGACACAGCACGTCCCCTACTTTTCTGTCTAGTCTCAGTGAATGTGCACTGAACTTCAACAGACTCATGCAAGTGAAGTAACAATTCGCTAAATTTAGTTTTTTTTTAGTATTATTTTTTTGGCCTTTTATGCCT